TAATGAAAACATTCAACAATAAATACACTCAGTATGAGAAGTGATTAATCATCTGTAATATGATGTTCAAACATAAAGAAGAACTTACTGTTCAAACAATTGAAAAAATAACTCAATGTAAATCCAAATTTATAGTTTCTCGAGAGTATCATTATGTGTGTAGATTTTTCTCATGTGAGTTGTGAGTATATAAAAATAATATAAAAAAATGAAATATAATTTCATATATAAGAATTACTATAAAAACTTAAAAGATAAATCCATATAAAAATAATATAGAATTGATATTGGATATAGAATAATGCAAGGAAAATAAAAGAAGAAAAAGCAATTTAGCATTAAAAAAAATCATAATACCCTTGAAAAATAAGAAAAAAAAACATGAAATGTAAAATTGGTATTGAGTTTGTGGACTTATCTCAATTTATGTGAAAATGATAAAAAAAAAAATATTTGTCAAATAGAATCCATATAAATAAGTAAAAATTAATATAATTAAATTAAATTTGAATTTGTGTAGAACTCAATATGTAATTAATAAATATATAATGATGTAGGCTCTCTCAAAAAGAATAAGGCCTTATAATGAGCTACCTAAGTAAGGCAAAAAAATTTCTTTAATAATAATATATATATAATATATATATATATGATGGCTTTTGGAATTTGATTTCTCAAAGCTCCAACTCTTACTCTCTTGTCTATATCTCTGTATATTAGCAGAAGAAATTTAATTATAGATAATTACACTTTGTCTTTTATGTTTAGTTATTTTCTTATTCTTTGTCTTTATTTTATTTTTTTTGTTTCACTTCTCATATTTTAAATTTTCTCAATTTATTTTCTACAAATTAATTTTTGTTCAAAATTAGAGGATAATGATACGTTAATTGTCACATAACATAAAAATATATTATCATATTGGGATTTGGATTTGACTTAGAGATTAAGTTATACATAATAAAATATTTTGTGTACTATGTGGTTGTTAATGAGTCATTTTCTGTTTAATTTTTTGGAGTAAATTGAAAACAAATTGAAATATGAAGGGCCAAAGTAAAATAATAAAATTTAAGAACTAATGTAGAAAAATAAATAAATATAAAAGAAGCAAAATGTAATTTACCCTTAATTATTTGTATGATT